TGATTTGGTGAATATTGTTAAGGTTAATGATAAAATAGTAGGGACAATGCCTTTGATAATATCAATAAAAGAAAAATTATGTGAATTTGCTTGTAGTAATCATATTAGATATGAAAGGTTTAAAAAATTATTAATATTATCTGCAAATACAAATTTGGAAGTATAAATAAATAATTGTAGCTTTAGATAGGTAATAGATTTAAAGATCAGGAATTACATGTATTGTCTAATCTCTAGGCAAAGTCAAAGTGAATTTGCTTATAATTATTAGATAATAAATTATTTGAAAAATTGAAAAATTAATATATATTAATAATTATTAATTTTAAAAATTTAAAAATACTATCATTAGATAAATTTTAATATGATAAATCTAATAAATTTTATTTTATCTTTTTATAATCACTAAAATAATTTTTCTATAATATTTTATAGCTAATTTATATTTACGCTTTAAGAGATAATTAGATATATCTTAATATGATAAATTTAATAAACTTTATTTTATCTTTTTATAATTACTAGATATTAAAATATTATAATTTTTTTTTTTATAATGTTTTATAACCAATTTTATATTTACATTCTAAATGATACTTTAAATAATATAAAAAAATATTAATAATATTATATAATGCTAAATTTTAAAATTATTAAAAATAGGAGAACTTTAAATTATTTAGTATAATAATCTCTTTTGTAAGCTAATATCTAAAAAATTTAAAATTGTAAAGATTTAGATTAACTACTTAAAAAAATATTATACTTAACTTAATATATATTACAAAAATCTTAATATATGATAATTATTGATATTAATAAATTCTAGATAATATAATCAACAGATAATACATAAATCTTCTATTTAGCTAATGAAAATTAAAAATCAAGAAACTAATATATCTTTATAAATAAACTTATAATTCTTTAATAATATAAGAAAAGTATATAATTGATTTTTTTTTTTAAAATCAGTAAATCTTAAAATAGATGTAGATTATTTTTTAGAAATATTGAAAATTATAGTTACTTAAACAATATCATTGCAAGTTCTTACAGTTATTCACAATGATAATATGTATAAATTTTAAAGAATTTTACAAAAATTTATTCAAAAAATTATATTATTAATTATATATTTGTAATAACTAAACAAATAATAGAGAAAATAAAATAAACTAGAAAATGAAAAGAAAATTTATAAGAATTCAATTCTGAATTTTTTTGAATTATTTTAAAATAATAATTTATTGTAAAAGAACATTCTTAATATGAAAATTAGTTCTTATAAAGAATATGATAATAAAGAATTTATTTTATTTATAATTATTAAAAAATAAAGATTTAAGATTATAAAAGAAAATGGATTTATTTATTAAAATAATTTATAAATTACAATTATTTACATCTTTTTTAATTATTTAGATTTATAGTTTAAAATATACTTTGATTTATTGATTACAATTAATAATATTGATTCTTATTTTCTTAAAGTAAAAGTTTTTTTACTTATTTCAAAACTACTCTTATTTATATCTTAATCATTTTTTTTTTCTTTTTTTTTTTTACTTTTTACCTACCATTTTTATATTTTTTCTTTCTTTTCTTCCTTTTATTTCATATATTTTTACTATCTTAGAATAACTTTTTTTACAACAGATTACTGAACATTATCAGATTTATTATAAATTTGAATTTATTTTATAACTATTTATTTTTAATTATAAATTATAAAAGATTTAACTTTTATATTTTATTTATTTATTATATTTTTTAATTTTATAATAATTTTTAATATATATAAAATTTTATAAATATCAAATAATTTAGTAATCAAAAAAATTTTATATTTTTTATGCTAAAGTATTTATTCTTATTATTTAATAAATTTTGTAAAATGAGTATATTTTAAACCTTTATATTTATCAATTTTATTATATATTTTTTTGAATCAATTTATTATATTAGATTTATTAAAGATAAATTAAGTTAAAAAAATTTTTTTAAAATCATAAAAAAGTTATTAATAAAAAATAATAATAAAGTTCTTTAATCTTTAATCTATATCTAATGAATAAGTTAAGATTTTTATATAATTTTAAATTAATTTTTAAGTTTATATTTTTACAATTTCTTAAATAATAAATAGTTTTTTTTTGATATTAAGATGTTTTTGATATTCTTGTTATCTTCAAAGATTTCTAACATATAATATTTTTTATAATTTTTTAAAATTCGAAATAAATTTAACATTAAAACAGTTAAAAATAACTTGTGATATTAGAAGGAAGAAACATTATTTTAATTTAGTTAAAGCTAAGTAATATTTGGATGGCATTCTTTTTAATCTTTTACTATTATAACTATTTAAAGTCTAATTTTTACATCTCATAAAACCTGATTTTCTTTTATAGAAGTGAATTTAAAAAGACGTTTTTCCTATTAAAAAGAGTAAAAATTTTATTAGCTTTCTTTTTAAATTATCAAATGCTTCAACATTTTTAAATGTAACTTGAAGTTGATTTATTAATTTATTTTAAAAATCATTTTAAAAGGAATTGCTTTTAAAATATTTACTTTAATTAGAACAATTTTTTTTTTTTTATAAGAAACATTTCAGAAATAGTTAAAATTCTTTATGATGATATATAATACAGTGATTAAATTTGGTTTTCGTCTTTATTTATTTTTGTCAGCAAAAAAATAAATATTAAGGCTTGAAAGTTTAATTATATTACTAAATTAATAGTAAATAAAGAGGAGTTTTAATTCTCAAATTTTAGATAAATGAAGAGAGGTCAGCTTCGGATTCGCGGTTTCACATCTTTCTTTGATATTGGCTGCGCATCTATAAAATGCAATTAATATTCTACAAATATTAGTATTTTGGCCAAAGTGCTTAAGGTAATTAATTGATTTGAGTCTGACCCTCGGATTAACTATTCTTCTTGAGCAGAAAGAACAATGAGTTTGAATATAATGTTCATTTTGAAAATATGTGGTACATTTGAATAATTTATCGATTAGGATAATGTAACTATGGGCTTATTATTAATATGACACAACTAGCCAAATTTATTTTTAGATTTTCGTTTTTTTTTCCATTGACAAGGCGAGTATGAAATATGTAATAGTTTTTTCACAGGATGCCAAAGATAACACGACGAAAAATGGGTACCCGTGAAATAACTATATTTAGCAAACCCAAAGTATTCAGCATCCGTGACCGTTGTTTAGAAAAGAGGATTCATCTTCTTGACGCGGTACTGCCTCTCTGTAATCTGACTTCACAATTATGTCTAGAATACTGGTAAAAGTGCTTTCTACATTTTTATTGCACAAAATATTTTCTAATTTAAAACCGATCCTTATTACTTTAAGGGAAGACTCAATCTAAGGTCCCAAATGGTCCAAATTTTATATATTGAAGCAGTGTATTAGATCTTGTTGACTTTTTTTTAATTATTAAAGGTAAAAGAAAAAAAAAATCTAAAAGCAAATATTATTGTCTTTTATATACACAAATAAAAACTAGAAAACGGAAACCGTGATATATATGTGTCACAAAGTGTCACCAAAGTGTTACAAACCAAAAAAGGAAATTACAAGGGTAGATGGATGGAACCAAAATTTCTTATGAGTAACTGGATTAGACCCCAGATAGCTCTTTAGCTTTGACTTTCAAAATCTCATCAATGTCTGATACGAATTTCTCTATAAGCGATTCAAGCTAAAGAAGGAATAAAATGAAATAGATAATTGTATCAACAATTCATAGCAAACTCAAAAAAAAAAAAATGAAATGATAAAATATTTACTTTTTTATTTAATATTCTTGATTCATCACTTGATAATCCATTCTTACTATCATGCTTTAGATCTTTCATACCATCTTGCCTTACTAGCCTAATCTTAATTTTTGCATTCTCAGCCAACTTTGATGCGACTTTAGTCATCTTCTCACGATATTCTGTTGTGATTCTAAACACAGAAAAGGTGAGTCAATCACGTGTAATAATGAGTTTGCTTTGATCAAGTTAATTTAATGCTTACTTGGGTATCGGCACTTTAATATGTTTACCTTCAATCATGGGATTTAAATTTAAATTGGAACCTCTTATGGATTTATCTACTGCTTTTATTAACTAGAGAATGAGAATAATGATAAGATATTTGTTGAGTTTGATCTAGATTTAAAGTCATAATATTTTCTCATATGGCTCCATACTTCTTCTTCATGTACATGTACTATCAAGGTTTGAGGATCTTTAACAATGACTTGTGCAATATCTTTAAGAGGTGCGCTGTTGCCTTTAAAAGGTACTATTACGGGATCAAGAATGGCTAAATAGACATTTTTTTTTATTATAAAGTTAAGGTAAATTTAATCATTTGAATGAATTTCGCTCAAAGGAAACATAACATACCTGGGTTCGCACGACCGATCCTAATAGAACTATATTCCTTTTTTAATTTTTCAATAACCGCGTTTACTTTAGTTTCAACTTTATTTAAGTCAAAATCTCTATTTTTTATATTAATGACCTCCTCCACTTCTTCGTCTTCGTCTTTAACATAATTCTTGCCTTTTTTACCACCTTTCCCACCTACTTTTTTCTTTGAAGACTGCAGTATTCGTTGACTAGTGAAGAAACTGTGAGAAAGTGGTTGTACGGTCACAGTAATATTGTTTGTAAGTAGTCCATTCAAATTATAAAATTTTGAAGTTAAAATTCTGCAGTTAGGTATTAAAGAATTTCTCGGTCTAACGTTGGAAAGAATTCGCCACGTAATTGATATGAATTTTCTAGACATGTTTGCGATAAAAAATTTTTTTTTAAAACCCGACAATTATAATCAGTAGAACATGAACAATGATGGTGTAACATCATTACGTAAATTTTAAGGGATAATGAACATAGAAAAAAACGCTTTAATTAGACTCTGTCTTTGACGGCCAAATTTGTTGTTTTATTTAGTCTACTTTCTGTTTTATAAACATGGGAGGAGGAGAAGAACCTTCACGAGAAGAAATTCATGATGGTTCTACGACCAATCAAGAAGAAAATACAAACGCGCAACAAAATGTGGAGTCTAGTCCAAATCTTCCCGAGAAGCCAGTTAATGCGGAAGAGGATAGTTCAAAGGAAACGAAAAAAATACTTGATGAAAAGTCAAATGAAAATACAGAAGGAACCAATGTAGAACAAGCACAACCTGAAATAGCTGATAATGCACAAGCTGTAAGTGCACCAGTTACCGAAACCACTTCCGTTGTTAATCCATCACCGGGTCCCGTGGAAGCTCCTAAACCAGAAGATACTGCTAATAAGGATGCGGCACACGAAGATCAAGTTAAATTTCAACAGAATTTGGAATATGAGATATCCATTAAAAAAGAAGAGGCCGAAAGAACACCGCTCGTTTGCATATCAGAGGACATTCAAAAGTTATATCAAGAATATGAACAGGGTAGTGACGTATATCGGAATAAAATTATGGTTTGTTTTTTTTTTTTGTACTATTTATCATCAACAAACCATCATGTGTGAATGATGGTTCAAAGAAATTCATATTTACAATTAATAATGGTAGAAATTGGCAGAGAGACATAATAAGATAAGACGTTGTCGTGGTGATGGTAACTGCTTTTATAGGGGTAACTATTCCTAATGACTAACTTTTAGCAATTCATTTCCAAGAAACCGTGAATTAATACTATAGTGTTGTTATCATGTATCATGTAGCCTTTGGGTTTGCATGGTTCGAACGAATTTTGCTTTCCAATAATTTAACTATTCTTCGAACGGCTCTCGATTCTTTGATTGCAACAAAGACGTTGCTTAAATCATCTGGGTATCAACCGTTGGTTTATGATGATATTTACGATGTCGTTGAAGAACAGATGAAAGCCATCGAGCGTGGTGAACGTGACGACTCTATGTTATTGGCAATCTTTCAAACCGATGATATTTCTAATCATATAGTCTGGTATCTTCGTGTAATTACTGCGGCCTATTTAAAAAAGTATCGTCAAGAATATGAACCTTTCCTGGAATTTGAAACTGAAATGGATCAGTATTGTAGTAAGTATGTAGAGGTCATGGATCAGGAAGCTGATCATATTCACGTCATTGCATTGACTAAGGCTCTGAACGTTCCTGTTGAAATCGCGTATATGAGTGGATCTGACACGATGGAACAAGTTAATTTTCATGAGTTTTATCCTGATAACGAACCCACAGGAGGGAATATCATTTTAAAACCTTTGGTGTTGTTATATCGCCCTGGACATTACGATATTCTTTATCGAAAAGAATGAAATTGAATTTTTACATTTTTTTTTTTTTAAAAAAAAAAAAAATGATGAGGAATGTTGCTATTAAAAAATGTATTTATTGTATTAATAATTTCAATTAATCTCTACAACTATTTTTTCATAGTCTTATTTATTTCAATATGCAAAATCTGCCTTATTATTATTGTATTAAGATTATTTGTTCAAAAACTTTTCTCTTTTCCTTTTGTAACGAAATTTAAATGTAAGATTGATAATCAAAGGTTAATCATAAGGATTGCAATAATTCATCTTGTAGCAAAATAATAATAATTTTTTTTTTTTATTACATTTACTTGAACTCTATTATCATTTGAATATGTTACTTACATACATGTCTTTAAAAATAAATCATACATACAATATCAATACTTGTAATAAATATCCCAAGTAAATTCCTCTTCTATCAACCTTTTTAGTGCGTTACTTTACAATTAAATTCTCGCAGAAAATTCATGCAAGCAAATCTATCAAAATTATTACTTTACGCTAATAAAAATTATACGCGTAAATTTTATCAAAATTTTTACCATTATTAAGTTATATCAGCTCTTCCCAATGTTATTATCAAAGACAATAATAATTTCTTTTTTGTGCCATAAAATGCCTTTTTTTTTTTTTTTTTTTTTAACAAATTTATCGTTCATCAATCCTCGATCGCTGACATTCTTAAACCAGTCTCTTTTTAAATAAATTGACGCGTCCAAAAATAATTAATAATTCTATGCTAAAGCTTCTTAAATTATTAATATTTGGTATCTTTTTGTTTTTCTCTTCAATGCCTTTCCTTATGATCAATGATTGGATTTTAATTCCATCGATGAGACGAAGAAAAGAAATCGTACAATGTTAATATAGATTGAGACGAAGGTCGTGATCTACCTCGTCCTCTCTCTCTGTCACGACCTCTAACTCTACCATTTCTATTATTAGAAAATCTAGGCGCTCTGCAGGCTTCTAGATGACTATTAATCCGCATTCTTGTTGGGTTGTTAAAATATCGGCCACATATTGGACAGTCCCAAGATTGTCTCATTCGCCGTTCAAAGTTATCATTGTCTAACGTTGTAAGATCGAAACTATGAAATTCAGCGTTATTATGGGCTGTACTTGTATTCTCAACGCGTATTTGATTATCATTAACCTGAGTTTGAGATTGATTTGATTCTTGATCACAGCAATCACAATTCTTATTTGGTGTCAATAATTCAGAAGACTTATCGTCCTCTTCTGAATTCCATAACTTCCGTTTCCTTGGATTAGTCCTAACGTTCGATTCATTTTCATTTTCATCATTTCCTTTGGAGGAGCTCGCCTCTTTTTCAGTCCGTGGTTGAGTTTGTTCCTGTTCATGAACGTTATTCTTGTTGTTTGGTGTCAATGGTTCATAAATAGTTGATAAACTAGTCTTATCTTCATCAGAATTACTTAATACTCGCTTCCTTGAGTTAGGCTTGACCTTTGACTCAATAAAGTTCTCATCAGGTTTAATAAAAACATTTTCGGAATCATTCGGAATTGAAGTTTTACCTAATAATTCCGTGATTGTAGCGAAATCTGGATCGATGTCATCAAGAATAGATGGCGATTGTGTTTGAATCTCGGCTGTTAAGTTATCACTGCTCAGATTTGTATTCTGGGTCTTAGGAGATACATTAATATCTTGCAAATTAATGTGTTGAGACACGCATGCAGGATAAATGTAATTCTGTATTACATGACAATGTTGAGATTCCGATGTAGATTGCCCTTTTGGCTTTCGTGAACTATTATCTTGACACACAACAATATCTATCTTTCGTTGATGCATGTGTTGGGGAAACTCACCAAGTTGCGAAATATTATGTAACAGTTCTGATGCTCGAGAAATGTTACATCTTGGCGGACTTGTTTCCCGAGACCCTGATACTGGATAAATATTTTCTTGTTGCAAACTTTGCTCATTATGACTCGACTCACCTTCATTTTTTGATTCACTTGAATCCTGAGCAGGACTTGTAATAGAGCTTAAAGGCATACCTGTATGATTTGATATTGATGGTTCATCAATGATCTGGTTGACAAAACTAACATCTTTTCTATTATCAACTTCTTCAACCGCAAAATATTTCCTAACACCAAAAACATTAGACGTATCCTTATCACGAATATTCGCGATTCGAATACCCAAGAGACGGAGAGATATTGGAATTTCTTTATCTAAGATAGCTCTACTATAACTATACAGGTCATGCCAAGAGCTTATATACCTGGTGAGAACTTTCTGCCGCGTGAACTGAACGAATGATTGCTTCTTGAAGACAACCGATAGCGTTTTTCCTTCCATATTCTCCTGATCGAGTCTTCGTGCCAATTCTTCTGCAATATAACGCAAAGTTTTATAAAACGAACTCACTTTATTGGTAGGAGTGAAGGTCCTAGAAGTACTCATACTCTTTCGAGTATAATTCGTATTTATTGCACTTGACCCAATACCTAAGGAAATTCGCATGTAAAAATTAAAAGAAATTTCGGAGAACATCATATTGACATATACGAGTTTATCCAACAGATCTCCGCATGTGTGAATATCAAGGACACCGTTTAGAATCTTCGCAGATACTTTCCCTACACCACAAATCTTCCTTACAGGAAGATCGCGAAGAAAATCAAGAATTTTATCTTTATTATTATCAAGCCTGAATTGGCCATTAGGTTTATTTACTTCCGCGCACACCTTTGCTAATAACTTATTAGCGGCGATACCAGCACTGGCAGTTAGCTTCGTTTCACCGCGTATCTCGTCTCTTATCTGCTGTACCACATCATCCGGAGACTGATTGTGACTTTGGGCATAATTTGTTACATCCAGAAATGCTTCGTCAAGGCTCATTGCACTGAAGTTTGGGTCGTATCTTGCAAAAATCGTCCTAATTTGTTGTGATACAGCCGTATACTTTTCAAAGTTTGGTTTTACAATTTTTATATGTGGGCAGAGTGCCCTCGCGAAATATCCAGGCATTCCGCTCCTCACACCAAATTTTCTTGCTGTGTAGTTTGCTGTACATAGCATTGCTGAATCTCCTACACCCATTGGTTTGTCAACCAAGGTTGGGTCATCTCTTTCTTCGACGGATGCATAATATGCATCCATATCCACGCAAACGATATACTTGCTAAGATCACGATCCTCTTCAACTTTGTTAATACATTGTTCAACACGTGACTTCACGAAGGTCAAATCTTGCGCCTGAAGGCGTTCGAAGATCCGGCGCTGTTCCTCGATCTTTTCTTGTAGTTCGGCATCTTTTTTGGCCTTTAATTGGCCAAATCGTGAGCTTTCTTCTAACTTTTTTAAAATTTTATTTACCTTTACCTGATCAACACCGTCAAACCCAGCTTTATGGGTAATTAGTTCATTACGGTTTTCTTCAGGGCAAGGTTTTATGGTTTCCTGGGACGCGTCATATGCACTATTACTGTCAACTGTGTAAGTTTCCATGTTATCATCGTTGTCATTGTCTAAAAAAAAATCAAAGGCGTCGTCTTCTTCCCCGAGATCGAAGCCAAAGTTCTCGTCGCTTTCTTCTTTATCCATTATGTAAGTTGACCTAACACCCTTTACAGAGAGTTTAGTGGAATATCTCTTTTTGATTCTTTTGTAATCGGTGTAATGAAACACCTGCTACAATAGAGAAAAGAAAAGTGTTGTCTGTGACGCTTATGAGTTCCAGGAACCTTCCTGAAGTTTTCTTTGTTTGTGAATTATTTGTAAACACTCCCGTGTAAATAGGAAGTGCAATGAGTTTTATGAAATAAAGGGTCTCTTGTTTTAGTTATTGTGAGAATTAGAGCGCGTTTTACTGTTCCTGCAGGTAAGTGTTTGAATTGAATCTAATTTAATCAATTCTACTTATCACGTGTAACATGTCTTTCTTTTTTTGGTAAAATCCCGTTATTATCACTAATCAAAATTTCGAGAGAAGCCGAGAAATTAAGTTGGGCGGAAGAGAACATCAAGCACCGAGAAATACTTTTTAGTTTTCGTAGGTGAATAAGTACATATTTCAAAGAGTTACCAAGTAAAGCATATATTGTAATAAAAATGTATGAGAATTTATATTACACAAAAAAAAATTTCCAATCTGATCTAATTAAAATAACAAAAAAAAAATCAATTTGCCAATTTAATTTTTTATCGAGCTCTTTCGGAGCGTTAAATACCATTACAATTTTATAATTCTGGCAGTTGTACACCTCGGACCTTCAATTTTTTGATTTCAACTCCAGATTCTTCTACTTTGATATTTAGACGTTGACGAAATCGGTAATGTACCCAACTTCTTGTTTTTCAAGGGATAATAACGTCAAATTTAATAAAGAATGCAATTTTCTTTCTATGAATTTCATTACAAATGCACCTTACGCTATGATGATGAAATGATTAATTTAATCGATTTTTGAGATAAGATCATCCATATGCTAACAATCCACTTTACGAATACCATGTGAATGTATAAAAAATTTCCTTAATTTGATATTTTTAAAAAATGAATGCTAATAAGTTTCGTTGTAAAGGAAATTTTCTTCATGCTAGGTAAAGAGTTAAATTGGCAACAATTTTTTAATCTTTTTTTATGTGAAGATTTGCATCAACAAGGTTATTAATTCTGCAATCTTTTGCCTTTCAGCATTATTAAGAATGCTATTACTGAGCGAAGCCACATCGCAAGATTCAGTAGCAGCACTATAAAAATGAAAAAGCATTATCATTATAATAGACGAAGCCAATTTGCGAAAATTGCTGCGTCTTGCTTATTGAAGATCAGTTCTTGACATTTCTGTTAGATTTGTGACAACAGACCATTTCAGCTTTTAATTAATTGATTCGTGTTCACATAGCCCTGATCAATTGAAGACTTAATCGATATTTTCTAGATAGGTTTCTGTATTAAACCAAAAAATCGTTCAATTATTTTGATCAAACATAAAGTCACATGATCGGT